CCCCACTACGACCAATGACCTTCTCCAAATCTTTTCCTTCCACTGTCAGTCTTTGGCATTCACAGGGCTGACGATGAGATAATTCTGACTCATACATGGGAAATACCATCCAAACATTACTCCAGAGTAGAGGCTAAACGAGCAGGTTAAGATAACACCAAGGTAAACTGAAAAAGTCAGCAAATTAAACTCAGGAAATTCAAAGGTTAAGGGGAAATATATCTGTGGTAAATCAGCAATATTGCAATATGGAATTTTTTCTCATTCTATAAATACACTGACACCCCTCTACTTATTGATTTTATTTACATCATAAATATATAAGATTTGCATCATCACTAGGAGAAACATTTTTAAGGGAGCTATAATTTGATAACAACTAACCTATCCTATATAGTGAATTTCTCAAACTTAACATTACTATAATATTTTTGATAATCATCAATTAACCTTCAAACAAGAAGGAATTTTAAAGTTATTTTTCAACATAATATCTTGATAGTATATTGGGTTTGATGGGATTTTGCATAAACTCTACTGTATTCCTTTTAGGTCATCAATTTGCTTCCTTCATCGTATTTTTTAAAAGCTCATTTGAGCTTTCAAGGACATTTTATAAAATTGTTCTAAAATTTTTGAAATGATTGGAGAGAATGCTTCTAAGATGGTCATGTAAATAACTGACATAATTTATAATATGTTTATTATATAATGTATCATACACAATAATATTAATAAATTCTATAATATTGTATTATAATAATAAGAGAAATGCAATTTAAACAATCCGTTTTGCCTCACTTCAAAATTGACAGAGATGAAAAATAAATGGAAGAGTTTGAGGAGGAACTGTGGAAACATGAATAAACATGAATGCTTTGTTGGTAGAGCTGTGGATTCATACAGTTCTTCTGGAAAAGTGAGTCTATGAATTGGTGCATTTCATAATTTGGAATATTTCATAATTTGGAATTATGCAGAGAAGGACTAAATCGTTATACATTTGCACACAGATACCACTGTTAAGCATATACTCCAAAGAGTATGACCAAGAAAAAAAAGGCCCCACTCATATACACCAAAATCTTTATAAGAATATTTTTTGTAGTAACAAAGAACTGGGAGTTGAGATTGGGGAGAGAAAGTAGTTGTCCCTTGATTGAGGAATGGCTAAACAAAACATAGCACACTCATGTAATGGAATATCACTGTGCTGTAAGAAATGATGACCATGATGAATATAGAAAATCATGGGAAGGCTTATGTGAATTGATATACTATGAAGCAGAACCAGGAAAACAATATACATGACAGCGGCACAGTAAATGAAAAAAATGAAGCCTAAAATTAGATCTAGACCTCTACCTCACTTCCTGGCCACCTTAATACTATACCATGACCTATATATCCCAATCCTGTTTTTCAGTTTGCCTTTTTATGTTGTTTTCCCTCATAAGAATATAAGCAGGGACTGTTTACTTGGTTGTATTTGTGTCTCCAGTGTTTAGCACAGTGCTTGGTACAGAGGATAGTAGATAGATAGATATCTTAATAAATCCTTCCTTCCTTCCTTCCTTCCCTCTATCCCTCCTTCCATCTGAATTATGTGAAATTATAATGACCAAACAGCCCCAAGCAGAAATAGGAAATGATGACATCTCCCATCTCACTTCTTGGCAAAGGTGTAGACACTATGATGAAGAATGGAATTTACATATGTCAGACTTTTTTTGATATGTTGGTTCATTTTGCTGAATTTTTTTTCTTTATCATAAGGGATAGCTTTTTGGGAAGGGGTAAGGATAGGAGTATAGTGGGAAGTGTAGATGATACAAAAACATAAGTATATAGTACCTACTATGTGCCAGGTACTGTGCTGAGTACTTCTTACAAATATTATCTCAGTTGATCCTTAAGTTAACCCTATGAGGTAGGTGCTATTATTGTCCCCATTTCATAGATGAGGAAACTGAGGCAGACAGAAATGAAGTGACTTGCCCAGGGGCACACAGCTAGTGAGGGTCTAAGGCCATATTTGATCTCATGTCTTCCTGACTCTAGGCCCAGAGCTCTGTACATTATGGTTCCACCTAGCTTCTGATAAATAGCAATTGGAATTTATTAAGGGTGGACATCTTCAGACATATACTTGAGGAAAGTCACTTTGAAGGCTGTGCAGATGAGCTATTTAAGTAGGGAGATGCTTGATGTAGGGAAGTCAAATAGGAAGCCATCTCAATAGCTAGATCAATAGTCCGTGTGAGAAGTGATGTGGATTGAACCAGGGTAATGTCTGCAGGAACAAAGAGAAGGGCATGTAAGATAAGATTAAAACAGGAATATTTGGCAACTTATTTCATATATGGTATGAGGAAGATTTTGGCATTGATAATACTGAGGTTGTAAACCTAGGTGACTGGAAGGATAATGTTATACTATTAGAATCAAAATTTGAACCTAGGTCCTCTGGCCCTAAATACATCAGTCAACCCAAAGGGAGAACTATAAGCAGTCATGGAAGCTAGTAAGAATTTAGAATGATGTAAGGAAAAACTTATTAACAATCAGAGATAGTAGGATAGGCTGCCTTGCTACTTAGTAAGTTCCTCATTTTATTACGGAACAATAACATTATGAAGAATAACAAATTTGAAAGACAAGAATCGTGATCAAACTCAAGGACCAACAAGTGAAACACATGACCCCCCTCTTGACAAAAAATGTGACAAACTCAAGGTTCAGAATAAGTCATGTATTTTTGGACAGGGAAAGCATATGGGTCTGTTTTGCTTGACTATGAAAAAAATTTTTTTAAAGTGTATTGTAAATTGTAAATAACTATATAAATGGTAGTTTTTTTTAAAGGAATTCATAAGACTTGATTTTAAAGATTTATTTTTTTCTTATTCTCTTTATTTCCTCAATACCCTTCATCATTTTGTTCCATCCCATACCCCAAGATTGGTTTTATTGCTTTGTTCCCTTCTTTTCACACCTCTTGTTGTACTGGTCACACATGAGAGGGTTTATAAATAACTATTCTAAAAGTATCCAAACATTTTTATCTTTCTAAACTGCTGACTGTACACTTTGGATTTTTTTCTCATTTCTACATATTTCTCCTCTGAATAAAGTATTTGTTTCCATGTATACTTTCTTCTGTACTTCCCCGTGATCACTGACAGCTGTTTGTTGTGGTTATTTTTAATTTTTTTTTCATAGTGGGTGGTAAAGCAGAATTCAGAAGTTCCATTAGCTGAATAAAAAATGTTCCACCCAAACCCAACTTGTAAAACCTTAAAAAATTCTAACATCAATGTAATCTAATGACTGAAAATAATTCTTAGTTTGTTTTTTTTCCACATTAGACACTGCTATAGTCTGGAAAAGCAAGACTATAGATTATTTTGACCTCTTCTCGTAAGTCTCTGTCTTAGCTACATCCTCTCTTTCTGCCTAATATCCCTTCCTTTCTGCCCTGCCCCATCTTGGAAACTTTTCATATCTGGAATTTTCTATGCCCAGAAGTTTCCTTTTTACTAGCTAATTTAATCTGTATCCTCTGGCCTAGCAAGGAAACCAATCAGATCTGCTTAAGAAAGATAAATTTCCACGACCTAGAAGCAATATGCTGCAGTAGGATGTATTCTAGATTTGGAGTCAATGAACTCTGCCTCTTACTATCCATGTGACCTCGAGCAATTCACTTCACCTGTGAGCCTCAATTTCCTCATCTATAAAATGATAAGGCTGAACTAGATGACCTCTTAGACACTTCCTACAAAAACCTGAGCTGACCTCATACATGAAATAAAGATGGATTTAGAAATACAAGTGAAAGCTTGGTATAAAAATGCGCCAAGACTTGGAAGCAGCCTTTCATAGCTTCACTGGGGACTCCCTCTTAGCAATGGCCGGAAGACCACTGGGCCCACAGTATCCTGTTGATGTCCATTCCCTGCTCTTCTACGCTCCTGATTTGGAGGTATCAAATGCAGCTTTATTGTGGAGAAGATATGGAAAGAAGTTAGCAGGATACCTTGGTTTTGGAAATATCAGCTGATACCCAAGTTTTCAGGGGATGAGGGAAGGTATACCCTAATACCCTACCCTTGTTGCCCCTATTTCCCCCTTAGTGCTCCCTTGGGTGCCTCCTGTAAAATCCCATGGTCTTTCCTTAAACACAAAGAATTAAAGGTCCTATTATTTCCAGCATTGACTGGCTTCTGTGATTCTCCTGCAATAAGTCTAAGTAATGGATTCCAACTGGCATAATGCCAAATTTAAATACTACCAATCATTTTCTAATGAACTCAGCAGGGGACTTGATTAACTTGACAATATCAATAATAATAACAATAATAATGGCTAGCATTTCTATTGCACTTTAAGGTTTGCCAAGTGTTGTACATATGTTATCTCATGATATACTTATAACAACCCTAGGCACTAGGATGGTTCTATCATCCCCATTTACATATGAGGAAACTGAGGCAGAGGTTAAGTGACTTTCCCAGGTATACCCAGCTCATAAGTATCTGAGGAAAGATTTGTACTTAGGTCTTCCTGACTTAGAATTCAGTACTCTTACCTACTGCATCATCTGACTGCCTCATGAATGTGATCACACATTTAGAACAGTAATGGTAGTGAAGAGAACAAAGATGCACCATCTGAAAAAGGTAAAACAATGGAGTAGATGTTTCTCTAATTTAAAAAGTGGAGATGATGTATTTAGTGTGGTACAGTGTGGGCAGGCCAGCCTGTTCTTTGAGTTCGGAGAGTTCTAACAGGAAAACAAGGTACAATACTTGTATCCTAACTATAGGTCAGGGTTGAATTGCATAGTTATTCCCATTTGCCAAATCAGGGTCAACAAATGAGATTAGATCATCTTTTCCTCTTCCTTGAACTCTAAGCAGTAATATGGATTTAACACTAATACTAAGTCTCTGCTTGATAATCTGGAAACAACAAGAAAAATGCCATTGATACTATACCCTTTGATGTGAGTTCAACTGGAAAAGGTCTTCTTTCATGATGCAGGGCTTTCCATCAGCTTTCCTAGAAGGCAGGCAGATGAGAAGATCCCAAGAGCCTGATTCACCTAACAGGAAGAGAACAGACATTTGTTAACTAATTAGGTGGAAATATCACATAACTCTTTAAAAAAATAAATGGTCAAAAAGCTTATGAAATAAATGGAAAGATAGTCTGATAATCTAAGTGAGAAAAAATTCTTAATTTCTTAAGTGATGATAAAATTTAACCTTTATAGCCTCTAAGACTAATAATTCAACAGTGGTTTTTGTTTCATTGTTTATTTCATTATTCTTTTTTATATTCCTGGGATGTCCAAATATTTTAACAAGTGAAATTCTCAAAATAAATTTCAATAACTATGAAATTCTCAAAATAAATTTCAAAGTAGAATACATTTTAACTCATTTAAAATGAATAATACTATGTAGTACTTTGAGTGAAAGATATGTTTTGGTTTAAACCAAACAACAGCAGTTCTAGAATGTCAAAATATTAATTACTAGAAATTTTGTTTTAGGTTTTGTAAGTTTCCACTAATCATCTATTAGACTCTCATCTGTTCTAACTCTCTCATTCTCCAGATGAGGGAAGTAGGGACCAGTGAGCTTTGGTGACATATCTAAAATCAGACAAGTATTTAGCACAAGAGGTAGAATTCAAACCCAAGTCCTCTGACTCCAAAATTAGTGTTCTTTCAACTATAACATCCTGTGTTTCCTCCTGTGCACTGTGATTTAATCATCTAAATATAAACAACACAAACAAATCCAATACAGGTAATGAGAATGAGTCAATAACATGGACAGAGCTAAAATCCCAAAATCAAAGAATGTTAGAATTGGAATGGTTGTTAAAGATCATTTTAGTCCAACTCTGTAATTTGACAGATAAGAATGTGAAGTACTCAGATAAGTAATTTACCTAAAATAACAAGGCTCAAAAGTTAGCAGTTGATTACTTGATGAAATAATCTCAGATTACTTTGTAGAGTACATATAAATTTTTAAAATTAAGTTAGGTAGAATTGTAATTTTTATTATATTGGCTTGGCCTACCCATGAGCAATTAATATTTCTCTGATTATTGAGCTCTGCCTTTATTTGTGTGAAAAGTGCTTTGTTGTTTATGTTCATATAATCCCTGGGTTTGTCTTGGCAGGTATCTTCCAAAATATTTTATATTGTCTACAGTTATCTTAAATAGAATTTTTCTTTCTGTCTCCTGCTGCTGGGTTTTGTTGGTAGGATAAAGAAATGCTGATGATTTATGCGGGTTTATTTTATATCCTGTAACTTTGCTAAAGTTGTTAATTTGTTTCAATTAACTTTTTTAGTTGCTTCCTTAAGGTTTTCTAAATATACCATCACATTATCTTCAAAGAGTGATAGTTTTTTTCCTCACTGCCTATTTTTATCCCTTTAATGTCTTTTTCTTGTCTTATTGCTATAGCTAGCAATTCTAGTAAAAGAAAAATAAATAATAGTGGTGATAACGGACATCCTCGTTTCACTCCTGATATTATTGGGAAGGCTTCAAGTTTATCTTTCTTACAGATAATGCTTGCTCTTGGTTTTAGATAGGTACTACTTATCATTTTAAGAAAGGGTCCATTGATTCTCATGCTTTCTATTATTTTTAATAGGAATGGGTATTGTTTTTTGTCAAGGCTTTTTCTGCATTTATTGGTATAATCATGTGATTTTTGTTGTTTTTGTTATTGATATGGTCAATTATGCTGTTAGTTTTCCCAATATTGAACCAGACCCATATTCCTGATATAAATTTTATCTGGTCATAGTGTATTATTGCTGTAATCTCCTTGTAATAGTGACATGTTGCTGTAATCTCCTTGCTAGTATTTTATTTAAAAATTTTGCACTGATGTTCATTAAGGAAATTTGTCTACAATTTTCTTTCTCTGTGTTTTGCTTTCCTTGGTTTAGGTATCCAAAACATATTTGTATCATAAAAGGAATTTTGTAGGGCTCCTTCTTTACCCATTCTGTCAAATAGTTTATATGGTATTAAGATTAATTATTCCTTAAATGTTTGGTAGAATTCACTTGTAAATTCAGCTGGTCCTGGAAATTTTACTAAGGAAGCTCATTTATGGCTTGTTCAATTTTCTAAGATAGTGCTATTTAAGTATTTTATTTCCTCTTGTTAATCTGGGCAGTTTATTTTTTGTAAATATTCATCCATTTCTTCTAGATTATCAGTTTTACCAGCATATAATTGGGGAAAATAACTCCTAATAATTGTTTTAATTCCGTCTTCATTGGTGGTGCTCTCACTCTTTTTATTTTTGATATTGGTTATTTGTTTTCTTCTTTTTTAAATGAAATTAACCAATGGTTTTTTTTCTCCTCATAAAACCAGCTCCTAGCTTTAATTATTAATTCAATTTCTTTTACTTTCAATTTCATTAAATTTTTTATTTTCAGGATTTCCATTTTAGTGTTTAATTGGGGGTTTTTAACTTGTTCTTTTTCTAGGTCTTTTTTTTTTTTGTTAGTTTCATGCCCAATTCATTGATCTGCTCTTTCTTCTTTTATTGATATACCCATTTAGAGATATACATTTCCCCCTAAGTGCTGCTTTGGCTGCTTCCCACAAATTTTGGTATGTTGTCTAATTGCTGTTATTCTCTTTAATGAACTTATTGATTATTTCTGTGATTTGTTCTTTGACCCACTCATTCTTTAGGATTAGATTATTTAATTTCCAATTAATTTTTAGTCTATGCTTCCATGCTTCTCTTAATTAAATGTAATCTTCTTTGCATTATGGTCTGAAAAAATGTATTTCTGCATTTCTGCATTTGGTTGTGAGGTTTTTAGGTCCTAATACATGGTCAATTTTTGTGAAGCTACCATGCACAGCTGAGACTTTTCTGGTCCCATTCAGTTTTCTCCAGACATCTATCATATCTAACTTTTCCAAGATTCTATTCATCTTCTTGGTTTCTTTCATAATCATCTCATGGCTACCTTTATCTAGCTCTGAAAGGGGAAAGTTGAGGTTCCCCCGCTAGTATAGTTTTATTGTCTATTTCCTCCTTTAACTCATTTAACTTTTCCTTCAAGAATTTGGATGCTATACTATCGATACATATATCTTTAGTATTGATATTACTTCATTGTCTATGGTTCCTTTTAGCAAGATGTAGATTCTTGCTTATCCTTTTAAATTAGGTTTATTTTTGTTTTTACTTTTTTTGAGATCATGATTTTTACCCCTGCCTTTTTAACTTCATCTTAACCATAATAGATTCTTCTCCAATCCCTTATTTTAATTCTGTGTGTGCCTGTTTCAAGTGTGTTTCTTGTGAACGACATATTGTTGGATTGTGGTTTCTAATCCATTCTGCTATCAGCTTCTGTTTAATGAGTAAGTCTATCTCATTCATTGTGCATATCCCTCCATCCTATTTTCTTTTGTTTATCTTTCTCTCTCTCTCTTTATCCTATCCTTCTCAAGTCTCTTTTGTTTCTGGTTGCTTCCTTCTTTTATCAGCCCTCCTTTTTATCATCTCCCCTTTTCCTTATCCCCATCCCCTCCTACTTCCATTTTGGAAAAAAATAGATTTCTTTTGCCACTTAAGTATGTATAGACATTTTCCTTCTTTGAACCAATTTAGATATGAATGAGGTTCAAGCATTACCTGCCCCCCCATTTCCCTCTCTACTATAAAAGCTCTTCTTTGTGTACCTCTTTTATGTGAGATAATTTTCCCTATTCTTCCTCCCCCATTGCCCCTTCTCCCTGCGCATCCCTTTCATCTCTCCATTTTTTTTACATAATCCCAACATCATAGACTCACTCTGATGCCCTCTTTCTATGTAGAATCCTTCTAACCTAATACTGAATAAATTCTTAGAAGTTGCATATATCACCTTCCCATATAGAAAGGTAAGCAGATTAATCTTATTGAGTCCCTTATGACTTCTTTTTCATGTTTACTTTCTTATGCTTCTCTCAAGCCTTTTATTTGAAAGTCAAAATTTTCTGTTTAGTTCTGGTCTTTTTATCAGGAAAGTCCTCTATTTTGTGGCAGCTAGGTGGCACAGTGGATAGAGCCCTGGCCTTGAAGACAAGAGGACCTGAGTTCAAAAAAGACCTCAGACACTTGACACTTACTAGCTGTGTGACTCTGGGCAAGTCACTTAACCCTGATTGCCTCAGCAAAAAAAATAATAATAATATTAAAAATCTATGGATTAAAAAAAAGGAAGCAGCTAGGTGGTGCAGTGGATAGAGCACCAGTCCTGGAGTCAGGAGGACCTGAGTTCAAATGCGGCCTCAGACACGTGGCACTCACTAGCTCTGTGACTCTGGGCAAGTCACTTAACCCCAATTGCCTCACCAAAAAATAAGTAAATAAATGAAGTCCTCCATTTCATTATACTTAGTTTTGCTGGGTAGGTTATTCTTAGTTATAATCCCAGCTCTTTTGCCTTCTGGAATATTGTATTCTAGGTCCTCATCTCCTTTAACATGGTAGCTGCTAAATCTTGTGTAATCCTGACTGCAGTTCAATGGTATTTGAATCTTCTTTCTGGCTGCTTGAAGTATTTTCTCTTTGACCTCGAAGCTCTGGAATTTGACTATAATATTCCTGGAAGTTTTCATTTTGGCATCTCTTTCAGGTAGTGATCAGTGGATCTTTCAATTTCACTTTTACCCTCTGGTTCTAGAATATCGGGGCAGTTTTCCTGGATAATTTCTTGAAATAATATGTCTAGGTCTTTCTTTGATAATGACTTTCAGGTAGTCCAATAATTTTATTAAATTAACTCTCCTCAATCTATTTTCCCAATCAGTTGCTTTTCTCATGATATATTTTACATTTACTTCTGTTTTTTTTTCATTCTCTTGACTTTGTTTCATTGTTTCCTGATAGCTTATGAAGTCATTAGCTTCTACTTGTCCAATTCTAATTTTTAAGGAATTATTTTCTTCACTGAGCTCTTGTGCCTCTTTTTGCATTTGACTAATTCTGGTTTTTAAGATTTTATTTTCTTCAATATTTCTGTGTCTTTATTTTTGCCAAGTTGTCAATTG